GGACTTTAGGAACAGGGAAAGTCTGAGGAACTATTCCAGAAGAGACAGCAAATAAATTTAACATGAATCCTAGATCACATAGGAAAGATATTTGGGGGATAACTGATGAAACATGAACGGGCTCTGTGGACTGGACCGTAGTGTTGTACCAATGCCAGCTTCCTGGTTTTGTAGTGCAATGATTAATTTTATGTGCCAGCTTGGTTGCGTTAAGGGATGCCCAGATAGCTGGTAAAACATTAGCTGGGTATGTCTATGAGGGTGTTTCTAGATGAGATTAGCATCTGAATCGGGAGACTGAGTAAAGATCACCCTCACCAATGTGGATGGGAAACATGATATACTGAGAACCTGAACAGAACAAAAAGGCAGAAGAAGGGTGAATGTGCCATGTTGCTTGAGCTGGGACATAACACCTTCTGCCCTTGGACATCAGTGCTCCTAATTCTCATTCCTTCAGACTCGGACTAAACTACATTACTAGCTTCCCTGGTTCTCCAGCTTGCAGACTGTGAGACTTCTTGGCCTCCATGGTCACATGAGCCAATTCCTATAATAAATCTCCTCAAATATACCTATATAGACATAACCTATTGGTTCTGTTTCTTTGGAGGACCTGACTGATCCAAATGCCATGGGGATATACAAAAATATTATACTTATCTTCTCTTTACTAGATCCACGTGACAATTTAGTCCAGGAAAAAGGCTCCATTTAAAGGACTGCCCTGTGAAAAATCAACCAGGGAAGGAGGCAAATGATAAAATGATAAAAATTCCTTGCTTTGGTCTTCAATAACTAGTTATTCCCAAAGACTCTGAGCCTTAAACTTTGGGTTTCTAGCTCTCCTTGGGGAGTAAATGCCTCTGAATGGCTCCATAGCCCACCTATGACTTACCTGGTCTGAGTTAATCTTGGGGCAGCTCCAGAATTTCTGTAGAGGAGGGGCTTTGGGGCAGCCTAGGTAAAGGGAGACCTTAGGGTGTTTGCCTTAAAGCTGCATTTACAAAGCAAGCATACCATTTTTATTTAGATTGTATGTTTGTATGGAGGGCCTTTGGGAAAATTGGTGGTGCTTATGGAAAGGCCTAAGTGCCCTCCAACCTAGCCCTGCCACCTGCCAAACTATCCCTTGATGATACCACTGAGTTTGCACATGGCTGAGTCAAGGCCAGGTCTAGTAAAACCTACAGCCTAACGTCCCAGGGAACAATGAAGACATAGGACTAGCTGATGAGTAACTAGGCGGGGTTGGGGGAGGGGGGCAGGCTGTGCTGGGTGGGTTGTTTTCCAGAGTGACACCCAGTCTGGCCCAGTCAGAGGTATATGAATGATTCACATCTGAGGAGAGGCAAGGTCCATGGGGGAAGGATGTGTCAGGGTCACAGGCAAGGGAGGAGTTCAATGCAGTAGACAGATAAGACAAAAGGCTAGGGGTCAAGTGCTGCAGAGGCCAGGCCAAGAGATGAAGAGGAATAAGGAGGAGGATATCAGCCTGGAGAGTGAGGAGGGGTTGGGTACAACCCAGGAAGTCAGAACCTTCTTTTCACTGGGTACTACTCACCTGGCTCACCAGGAAGGTCAGGCAGACAGCAACACACATCTTTCAGACTGAATGAAACAATTAGCTTAATTGCTTAAGGAAAGGGGATGCTTTGTGTCAGTTTAGTGCTCTGTGAGTGAAACTTAGAGACCCAAGTTAACAAGAAGGCACAGGGCAGTGAGGATGGCACAGAGCACCCAACTTCAATGTCTAGGGATTGCCATCACCACTCACCTCCGACACATTGGCTGGTTAGCTCTTTGTTTTTGTCCACTAAGAACTGGAATGAGCGGACAGTATGGGTAATTCTAAGGGAGAATTAAAGCTTCTTTAGAACTTTGCCCTGTGCCTTGGATCCTGCAGCGTTAGGTAATCTCATACTGAAACATCTTTCTCTCCTATTCCCCACGAAGCAATTTCTCAACCTTTGGCAGGATTTCCTCCTTGAAGTCTCATTTGATATCAGAGAACAGGAGCGAGGGGTGTGGAGGGACTGCAGCAATGTCCACTTAGCACACCCAATAGCCACATGGAGATCCGACCACCCCATACAGCCTGCCTGGGGTGCCCCACATCTGGAGGCCCTGCTTCTTTAATTCCAGTGTTTACATACGGAATTAAATTTCACAAATATGACTTAATGGGACCCAACAACAAACTACACAGGTAGGTAGAAAAGGAATTACTATCCCCATTGCGCAAATAAGAAAACCGATTCAAAGATGACAAGTGATTTATTCAAAGTCACAAGAACTCACAAAAGTGGGACTGGGATTAGAACCCAGGCCTCTGTATTCTAACTGCCTCTCTAACCCAGCATTGGAAAAGTATAAACTCTTGGGGCTTCTGAAGACCTCCCCACTCCTCACCTGCACCTCTCCTACCTATGGCAAGGCGAAGTTCCATGGGACTCCTCCACACACAAACAGAATCCAGGACAAGGGACCAAGGATCAGCAAAGCCAGAGAGGAGGTGGCTCAGTACCTGCAGGAGAGATGATGGAGGGAGGAGCAAAAGGGCCATGGCCAGGAAGGGAGTACGCAAGTAAGAAAAGTGTGCGGAACATCTCCAAGTCACCTACAGCTTGGGTGGGACTCTCTTTCCACTCTCTCCTGAACAATGTACATTGGTGCCCATGTTACCAGAAATGTCAATGCTTTAATGTTTATCTAGAAAGAAGTGAAGGCAACTGGCATTTAAGGAGTACTTCCTGTATATCAGAGTCCTTGCTAAGTGCTTTTCTCTTTTAATCTTGAGAGGTGGATATAATCTTCATTTTTGCAGACAAGGAAATGAGGGCTTAGAGAGGCACAGCAATGTACCCGAGGTCACAAAGCCTGGCCAGGAACAAAGGCTGGTCTGACAGTAAAGCCCTCCTTTTCTCCTATACCACATTCATAATGCCTTGGGCCTGGGCTCTGCCATTTAGAAGCTTGCAATCAGACTTAACCACTCTGTTGGGTATAATCACAGGCCAGAAAGCATTTTGAACTAATGTATACTCCCAGGAGCATGGCTAATGGGTAATTTGAGTTATAGTAATTCCCATTTGAGTTATAGTGATCCTCCTTGCCTCAGCCCAAAGAAATAAGAGGTTGGGCTTAAGTTATAGTGGATTTCTGCTTCTC